CAAAGTTTGTCGTGGAAGGATGTTTTGCATCACGGATTTCAGTCCAGCTAACATAAGCACTGTTTCAGTTGCTGCGTTATCATAGCGAGAATCGCTTAAATCGTATCGAGCCTCCTCCCGACGTCAACGAGACTCCATTAGAGAACCGAGCAAGCCGATTACGGCGAGCCAACGCTGGAAGAAAACTTGCTGGTCGAGGTGATCCATTGAATGTTTTGCAGAAATTTAATCCGTACACACTAACACAGCCCATTTCAGACCGATCAGTTCACTGAAAACTCGTTCTAAATCTGGATTCTGTCTTGTTAGACAAACAAACATCATTCGTTTTCCACATTGAAATGTGAAGCTCTCTGACTTTACATCAAAATAAATGCTTTGCGGAAACAGTGTACACAGTTGTTGCTTGGTTCGCACTCGAAGTGGGAAAAAAGAGAAACTCGTAAAAATGAGTTCAAATTAAAAGGAATGGTGTTTCGAAAGGTGCTGGTGGACGAGTTTGGCAAAGGGCTAGTCCCAGCAGAGCTCTAGATTCGAGATTGAAGAGATTGCAATGTATTTTGAGAAGAACAGCAGATCTGGCCAAGCCTCTGGATAAGGAACGCATTCGAATTCCGCTTCATTTTTTAGTAGTTTAGTAGCGTTTATATTATATTTAGTTTAGTTTTTAGTAGCGTTTATATGCGTACTTGTTTCTGACATGCCTCTGAGAGACGCGAGAGGAGGATTTTGGCGCTTTACCCCTTCCAGACAAATTTGCTGCTAAATGGAAGGAATTGAAAGTTTGGTTGGTTTTCCGATATTGAATGAAGCTTCTGCAATCGATTTAACCTTTTTGGGATGTGCCACGCATTCGCCATCCTTTCGGAGTTACATATAAAGGTATTTGAATGCGACGTGAGCTAGGCAATGAGTTGATGGGCCATCGAATGTACTAGGCAGTGCTTTTCCTTTCTAGACGAAAATGGTAGCCAGTATTGAACCCTGGAAGGATGAACGACTTCTGTTGGCCAAGCAAGATTCAATCGAAGACTTGACCTTCAGACGACAGGAGTTACAAGGGACATCTGTCTTTGCACTATCATCATCCGCCATTTCGCCATTCATAGAAATGCAGCTCATACGAATTTAATTGCCACTTGGGGGCAGGGTCAACCCTATGTTGCTACAAGTAGCAACGGGGGGGGGTCGTATTTTGATGAGTTTGTAGAGGGGGGTCGTACTTGCTTCGGTTGTAAGAAGTTGCATGTGATGAGTGGGGAGCGGCGCGGGAGAAAATTTGCCGTTTCAGCGCGCGTATATAGCAACGATAGGACCGACCCTGACTACTCGTCGTTTTGATCGAAATCCTACTGTTATATGTTTAGATAATCTTTACGCATTGGACATTGCAGAAATTATTTTGTGACATTCATGTTTTTGTTCATTTACAAAACAAAATCTGCGGTGTGAGGTGAGGCGGCGGCGCCCACAAAATCGCGTCCGTCCCACGCGACCGAAAAGTGGAAAAGGGGCGCCGTCGTGAATGTGTTAATAGATAGATCCTCCCAGACAAGTCTGGTACCAACCGACCCCGGAGGGATGGAAGGCTTGGTTGGCCCGGGCGACTCACGACCCAGGATTTGATCCCCGGACCGCTCGCGTGGTAAGCGTGCCACTTGCCACTACACCACTTCCGCCAACTGCCGCGTAGGTCTCGGCTAGTTGAAGGTAGACTCAGAGGGATAGCGAAAAACCTTTGCCTCTGCTGAGTAACAAGCCACCGAAGAAAAACTGAAGAAATCAAACGTAAAGAGATCATACTGAAACTTCCTCCCTTTTACCGATCGATAGGAGAATCTGGGAGAGACATAGTTTAGCCCAGTGTGTGCCGTCAACAGAGGTGAACGGCAAACCGAGGCAAGAGAGCGTATCAGCGGAGTACATACCACAGCGGTGGGCGTGCAACGGTGGCTATATGACTTGCGCAGGTCCAAGTGGAGCCTTTAGCTCTCATCCTATGTAATTCGAGCAGCGACAGTAGCCCTATTTCGGCGATCGCCGGCTCAGCAAACTTACTCATGGGAGGACTCGGCCCAGTGGATGCGCCTTTGAGGACCAAATAGTTCTGGTGGGTTAATAAAAGACAAGACTCATTCGGCTCATTGCTCACCTGTATTCACAACATCGTACACTGTGGGAGGTTTTTCGCCAGCAACAACGCTGATCGGTCGGGTGAGGTTCATGTGAATTTGGATGTGGCCGGAGAACGTCTCGCCATCGTCGTTCTAGAATTGTTCGATTTGAGTCACAAATTACTGCTGAATTCGTTACAGGACCTACTATTTTCATGCAGAGGCCTTCGCTGGTCTTGTTGTATTCCTCGATGCGCTTGGGCGAGATTATCATCCCGGTACGCTGGAGACCATTCGAACGGCGTATCCTCCTTCACATACACTTCGGATATTCGCAGAGTCTAAATTCGTTCAATAGGGATCTTACCAATTAGTATACGTCAAACAAAGTGCTAGCTATGAGGAGCAGTCTAGAAAACCATAAAAATGAAAAATGCGATGTAAATATAGTTGAATAAAAAAGGAAGGGTTATGCGAGGAGTTTCAGCACGCGCCGTGCTCTCGTGATGCTGACTGTTCCAAAATTCAAACACTTATGACTGATGCTCAAAAATCAGAATTAGTCGCATGTTGGCTCTCCAATCATTTGTTTCAATGTTATTTGCCCGGACGAACGCCGTGGACTCTACACGAAACCTTGCAAATGGCCTGACCGTCCTTTGGTATAGAAGTCGTGCCGATGCAAGTGAATATTTCGAAACAAATTCCTTGTTATAACTGCTAGGCAGCGACTTATTGCGCAGCAGAAGTAGAAGGAGAGGTACCGAATTGGCGAGTTGTGAAAAAAAGTGACAAGAACCTTCACAATATAAAATTGAAGCGAAGGTACATAAACAAGGTATCGAAGGGCTGGGGGGGGATCAGTACACAATGAAGAAAAAATGCCATGAGAACGGATCCAGAGACGCGAGGAAATGGCCCCCTTGGTCGCTCGCACATGACGTTTCGCATTGACTGTGACTCCTCATCAATGCGGCCCGTCTCAAACTTAACCTGTCTGTCTTTGCTAAACGGGGCTTTATAGGTCCAGACTGGCGAGCTGGGATGGGCGTAGAGGCGCGATCAGCGCGGCTGGGTGCATGGCCTGCTATTGGTAGGCTGGAAAGGCATACTCATCGTTGTGAAACACGGGCATCACTTCCTTCAGGCTGTGTCATTTTAGTCGCGTCTGTGGCGGCGATTAGCGCGATCACTCCAGAATTGGCAGTGCCTATATGCGAATTATTTGAAACGGGAGCGATCCGAACAAGTGGATCAGGGAACAGTCGTCATCCACCAGTCACTCGATCAGCAGAAATAGGGCGGGAATCGGCAGAGCAACCTCAGCAGTATTGATCGGGGCAGTCGCTTGTGAGTTTTGGTGATACTCCCCAGCGATTATGGGGCGAATCGAGATGCCGTATCGGCGCGAGTTTGGGACACTAGCGCGCTGAGAGTCCGCCTGCTTTCTTGATGGATATATTTCCCCTTACTCTCGCCTTAGCCGGGAATCTCTCTCTAGCGAGTTCTTCTTCATTCAATGGGGCGGACCGTGCCATTGAGGGCCCAACTGGAAGCTACGCAGAAGGGCCACACGGGAAGTTGTTGAGGGTTATATTCTGCAACCACGGTGCTATGGTTGAAAGATGACCCAAGATTAAGCGAACGATGACTCCGCTGGCCCTTCTAAAGGGCCTAATCAGTGCCATTTTATCCCTTTCTGAGAAAAGAGGGTGATGCTAAATCACAATCCTCCAGACGGAGAGAATCCTGACAAGATTGAGGTTTCTCACTGTATCAAGAAATCTTCTAGCTGTCGGATCTCGATCAACTTTCGAAAATAGAATGAGATGAGGAAAGAGCCAAAATGAGCGCTAAAAGGAACCACAGTGGAAAACAATTAATGCGTTTTAAAGGATGCTCTCGCAAAGGCAACGAAATCACCCTGATACCTGCCATACAATATTTGATGGAGAAAAAAGTTAAAAAGTAGGTAACAGGTAATCATCAACAAAAAGGCAACCATACCTGTCCATGGACGGGCTCATGCTGCTGCTGGTCGATCAGCGGATGACCGAGAGCTGACGAGGGAAGCTCGGCGCGGGACATCTTTGATGGTGAGAAGAGCGGATTCTAAACGGAACACATTAGCCGCTCGAGCAACATCTTATCGCCGAACACGAAACGAAAACAGCTCAGACTGCAAATGTGCCACGCCAGGCTTCCCGGATTTTCTCCGGAGGCGCTGATAATCCGATCATATATCACATCATGTAATCTCTCAGGGAGAAGGAGGAAAACATCACGTAAAGAGCATTAAACGAAGGTGAAATGAGCGTTGCTGTGGATGCTTACTTACCTCGAAACATGTTTCGTTCTCCTTGTCCGAGTCCCCGAACGATGAGTTCAGTGGGAGTGGTGGCAGGTGGAGTTCCTTCGGGATGGTCCCGAGGGTGCCGTCCAGCAATTTGGGATAGATTGAAGGAAATTCGCCCGAGGCTAACGATGAACCGGCTGACCGACAATCCAACGTCACCAGCTCCTGACATCGGCTATGGCAGGTGTAGTTGCAGTCTGCAAACGGCGTAAATCATTGAAAAAATTAGAAGGTACTTTTACAACATTTAGTGGAGGAACACCTTGCAAAATCGAAGAGGGGCTCGCTTTATCTTTCATTCTGAGATACGCCATGCATGCAAGCTTGATCTGTATTTTCGAACGATTGAATGGATGCCCAATTTACACACTAATCTCCCAGGCTAGCCAATGCTCGATTCAATAATATGATCCAGAAAAGCCTCACACTAATTGCCCGATCCTCGGAGAATAGAAGGTATAGTAGCCGTGCCATGAAAGCGACAACGCCAACCGTCTGAGTAGAACGCAAAGTCATCGCCTTCTACACCACCCCTGTACTTTCTCATGGTTATGTGTGAAAAAGTGGACCCATTGAGAACTCTCTTGAAAGCCCCACTTAGCCTCATTAGGCCATTCATCCTCAAGGCAGGGTAAGCTACGCTTCAAGGAAATTTAGCCGAAACGAACCCTCCTTCCACGGGGTAATTTGACTTCGTTGTTGGGTCCCATCAGTCACCCTATCTCCAATTCCACCCTTATCCTCTCCATCATACCTGAGACCTAACTGATCACCCAGAATTCTATGAAAATTTGGCTCGACAGACGAGGGTTTGAGCTCGATCGCGCGGACTACGTGAACGGAGTGCAA